AATCCAAGTGAATGTTCACATCTTTGAACAACAACAACCGGAACAATTTTCTAGCCCAATAATTTTCAATTTCATGTGAATGTTCACATCTTTCAACAACAACAACAACATCTGAAATAATTTGATTACCCCAATATCTTTCAATCCATTTGAATGTTCACAGATTTCAACACAACATAATGGCAACTGTAATTTTTTGAGTAAAAAAATCCATATAATTGGGATTGGGATTGAGGGGTTCAGATTAACAATTAGAGCATGAACAATAACAATATGAAGTTCCATATATTGTATGAAAGTTCACATTGTTGTTTGTTGAAGAAGAGATTTAGGATTTACATGCAAGAATGATTAGATTACTTACATTTTTTGCCCATTTCGACAGTTGTGTTGTCACAAATGGTTGTCGATGGTGATTTTGATGAAGATGGAACTTACGGATGTTCAACATGGTGATTTCCACGATTTCAACGACCGACGGTGTGGGGATGACGAATAAGACGATGAGACGATGCAACAATAAGAGTCTTCTGGGCTTTGAGATGATATGGAATACATCTTTGGATTTTTGGAATGGTGGAGATACTAATTCTCTACAAGAAGAGAAGGGAAGAGAGATGGTTATTTGATTCAAAGGATAGGTGCATGTTTGTTTGAGGATCTTTCGGTCTTTTAGTATGAAATGGGACCTGATGGAATATTACAAAACACTATGGGTCTGATGGAATAGGACTCTTAGAGAATGGATTTACTAAAAAAGCTCCATTAATTATAATTTATATAGCGATCATTTTATTTATGAATGGAAAGAAACACATGGAGGATGAACCCCATATGTCAAATGTAACTAACAATTCAATAAATTTCATATCTTTATTGAAATTAATTATGTTTGCATGTCAATAATGATAAACATCACCATTATATCGAAATTTTCATAGACAATAATATACGTATCATAGTCTCTTTATTATAGCGATCATTTTATTTATGAATGGAAAGAAACACATGGAGGATAAACTCCATATGTCAAATGTAACTAACAATTCAATAAATTTCATATCTTTATTGAAATTAATTATGTTTGCATGTCAATAATGATAAACATCACCATTATATCGAAATTTTCATAGATAATATTATGACTTATCATAGTCTCTTTATTTTCAATCAAAATAACCATTATTGTTCTCATAATTTTAAAAATGTCATTGACATTTCACTTTAAATAATATTTTTTATTTAAAATATTTTCTTTATGTTTAAATAAAAAAATAAAAAATCCCAAAACCCAGAGGGGCACGTGACCGTCCTAGGCTCTATGTGTCTCCGCCACTGTGTACAATTATAATATGCAATAATTGCACCAAATATATTACTAAATTATATAAAAAAATATAAGTTGAATATAACATAAATTGTTTGAGTTAAACCAAACCAAATCATAGACTGAGAACCCAAAATACTTAGAAAACTTACAAACAAATTGCAAAAATCTAGAAACGAAAAACAATTTGATCGAGGCTTGTGTTGGTTATAATTTCCTTAAGACAAATTCGTTCTCCGCTACGATACTCATGAGTTTTTATTAGACGTTCGTCCCTTGGGATACAATGATCGAACCTTGCAGAAGCAGACTACCACGACAAGTCTGGCGAATTTTACTGTGCATAATTCTCTTACAGGAAAGATAGGATGCAGAAGAAAAGAAACACAAGATGAATTCTTTATATTTAATGAATGCAATGGGGGTCTATTTATATAGATGAATTGATGGCTCTTTTGAAAGGTTATGGTGACTTTTCAATGAAGAGACACATCTCTTTTCTATAAAGAGACACAACTTTGCCATGGAATAGGTGTAAAGAATAGGTATAACTGTTCTTTCAAACATATTCGAATTCTGAATCGAATCCTGTTTAATTTTGACTCAAAAAATTAACGAATTTATCTAAATAAAATCAATTGTAAATTATATAAATTTCGTCTTAAAACCACACTTAAATGGTGCACTCTAGAATCAATTTCTCATTCACCTATTAATGATTTCCAAACCATTTTTCCAACATAAATCACTTACCGTGCTAGCTTTATGGTGGGTAAAACCTTCTCAATTAGATCCATAAAAATATAATTTATCCTGAATTTTTGTTTAGAAATTTATACGACAAATAAATTATATATTATAAATGTAAAATTGGTGAGATGTGAGTTACATCCAAAATAATTATGGCCATAAAAATATTTTTTGAATATTTTTCTAGATATTTTTTTTCTTGTTTATGTAGGATGGTTGACAAAGTTAAAAAAAAAAAAAATTAAAAAGTTACAATGTTGTAAAGAAATTTAATTAAAAACAGTTAAATGTCACACTATTTTTATTTTTCATTTAAAAAAAACAATTTTTTAAAAATCTTATCAAGTACATTAATTGAAAAAAACAAAAAGCCACTAAAATCTCATTCAACTAAACCCTAACCACTGAAATGGTCAACTGAATTTTTCTTACTGCACGCAATTAGTTCTGGCCGTTATTACCGTTAGCATTGACGCAAAGATATAATGTAAGGAGAGAGAGAGAGAGAGAGAGAGTTCCCTTATCTGTATGTGGCTAAGATCCAATTTAAAAATAAAAAAATGAAAAAAAAGTTGAAAGATAATTTAGAACTACACCCTACAACACACATAGGATATCCATCTTCCTCATATGCACAATGTATCTTCTTGACTACTCAAGAACACATATATATGTAAGTTTGATATGTCTTTGCACTGTTTAATTGGGTTTTTTTTGCCTTTCCATTTGTCTTTCAGATATGGGTTTTCAACAACTATCAGACGATTGAAAAGTATTTTCATTTATATCACCACTAGACATCTTATCTTATCTGCATTTCTCTTGGTAGTGTTTGCTTTTCATTGCAAGTTGTTTTATTTTTTATTTATTATTATTATTATTATTATTATTTTTAAGGAACACCCAGTTTAGTCCCCATTAAATGAAGGACTGGGTGGGGTAGATTGGATACAAACTTAGCCCTCAAGTTTGATAGGTTGAGTTTTAACTAAAAATTTGAGTTATTTTTGACTATTTATGTTTTATTCTTTAAGCAGACCATGTGTTTGTTTTTATGATCCAAAAAGACTCTTTTAGTAACCCTTCTAAAGTACTTGTATTCTTGTGCCCTCTTCAGAGGCTGTGGTCTTCAGCATTTTTTGTAATGCGCTATTGTTGTTGCTTCCTTTACACTAGATGCCTCTAGTATTGGAAAATGAAGTTGGAAATTGCTTTTTTGCAATTTTACATTTTTAGAATCTAAAAAAGTTGATTTGTTTGGTAATTGCTAAAAAAATTATTTTTTTGGTTTGTTGGAAGGTTGAGTGGGTCCTTAGCTTTTTTTTTTTCAAAAAACAAACAAATTTTTTTAACAGTTTTTTTTTTTTTTTTTAGGGCTTATTTAGCCAAAAAGCAGCTTTTTTTTATAGTTTGCCAGACAGGGTTAGAAGAGTGAAAGATTGGGAGATTATATGCAGCATTGAGTGACTAATGACATGTTAATTTCTCTGGCTTTTAAGGTTGATTGTCAAGTGTGCATTGAATTATATATTTTTAGAACCAAGAAGTTGCAAGCATGATTTCATCGAGAGAACGAAGAAATCCAATGATGAATATAATGAGAAGCGCAAACGTGACAGCCTTTTCATTGACAAACATGGCAAATTAAGAAGATTTAATCACAAAAAAGTTTCAAGAGAAAGGGGTAATATAATGTTTAACATCATGTGATTTTCATGGATACACCAAAGCACATTTTCCATAAATGTTTAAATTGATGTCTTTGTGTAGGTGGTTCTTTAAGGGGAAAAGGATGGAAATATGGTTCTGGATTTGTAGATGGAATTTTCTTTGTGCGGAGCCCCATTGCTCAGCAGATTTTAAACTTTGTACAAAAGGAAGTAGATGTAAATAGGATATGGAGCTCTCTTGATACTCTTCCTCCCACTAACACCACATGGGACGATATCATCACTGTTGCAGTCCAACTTCGTCTAAATAAACGATGGGATCCAATCATACTAGTTAGAATCTTGTACTCTTTAATTTTTCTTTTGGTGGGTTATGTCAGCTCATAGAGATATAAAGATTCACATATGCTATTGTACTACATTCATTAATCTTGGAATGACATAGTTCCCATGAAACTAGTTATGCAGTTGAATCGTTTCTATTAAACAACTTTTTTTGTTTTTCTGAAAGTTTAGTACAAAATTACTAAATGAAGAAATTTAATTGAAACTCATGCCAATTAGAATTCTAGTTGCACAAAGATTCCAATAAAATACAGTCCTTACTTTATCACCTCATTATTGAATTTCAATAGTTAAACCTCCTATAAATTACAGGTTTAGAACCCCAAAATCCCTTAATCTCAAATGCACCCATCAAAAAAAAAAAAAAAAAAAAAAAAATCCACCAGTGAAGCTTGCTGAAATCCAAAACCAATCTGCAACCATTAAGCAGTCAAATCTGAACCAAGTCACATTAATTCCATCAATCAAAAAACAAACTAACAGAGTTTGGGTTGATCACCTCCAATATTATGTCATTTGGGAATGCTATGCAACCAATGGCAATATTAGCCATTATGATCTAATTTCAATGCCAAATGTCTGCGTTGGAAAATGTCAAATTGTGCAAAAGATAAAGATGCCAAAATTGTATGGTGGTCTGCGTATCTTCTAAAATTAAAATTGATTATTAATTTTGTTGTGTGCAACGTAATAAGTTTCTGTACAGGTTTGTGAATGGATATTGTATAAGAGCTCCTTCCATCCCGATGTTATCTGCTATAACTTGCTGATTGATGCTTATGGACAGAAGTCACAGCATGACAAGGCAGAATCAACTTATTTGGACCTTCTTGAAGGTCAATGTATTCCTACTGAAGATACTTATGCTCTTCTTGTAAAGGCCTACTGCGTTTCTGGCTTGCTAGAGAAAGCTGAGGCTATTTTCGCTCAGATGAGAAAAAATGGCCACCCCCCAAGTATGTCTCATATTTTATGGTCACACATGACGGGAACTGTGTCCAACCCCCATACCCAAGTTAGACATATGGATCCTCTAATTAAGAATTCATGTTAATATATGCTTAATTTTATGCAGGTATAGTTGTATACAATGCTTACATTGATGGGTTAATAAAGGGAAGAAACTCGCGAAAAGTTGAAGAGATCTTTGAAAGGATGAAAAGAGATCATTGCCAACCAACAACTGACACTTATACCATGTTAATTAACCTATATGGAAAGGTGATCTATATTGTATTTGATTTCAAAATTTGATGCCAACGTCTTTTAATTTATGTCTATAAAATTTAATCTTTAGAGGAGGTCAGAAATATTATTCAAAACCTTGAGAGGTCCAATAAAAACAAAAAAATACATGAGAAGTGTAAGTTCTAAGGCACCATAACAAACTTGTGCTATTTTTTCATTAATTACGGACACATCACACATTGTCCCTACCTTAAAAGGGTTTCAATTCAAAGCAATGCCTAATTATATTGAAACCTATTATTGGAAAGATTTTCCATTTTCATGAAAAATTTCATATTACTTTTGATGTTGCTCTTGATTTCATTTTTGTAGTTTGTTTCTTTCTCATAAAGGAAGGTCCTCATATTCCTGCTTCACTATGCAGGCAAAAAAGTCCTATATGGCCTTGAAGCTGTTTAATGAAATGAGAAGTTAGAAATGTAAACCTAATATTTGCACATATACTGCTTTGGTAAATGCATTTGCTAGGGATGGACTTTGTGAAAAAGCAGAAGAAACATTTGAGCAGCTACAGGAAGCTGGGTATGAGCCTGATGTCTATGCTTATAATGCTCTTTTGGAAGCATACAGGTGATTATTCAAATCAGTTTTTAGGGGCATTTAAGATCTCCCATTATATGCAAGTCATTGTATTGTGCTTTAAACTGAACAGTAATAATATATATATTTTTAATTACTTTGAAAAGCATGTGTAAACAATGTACGCAAAGTTTTGATAAGACAAATAGAAACCATGATGTAGAACACTTTACTTTAGGGGAAAGAGAGAGAAATACTCGAGAGTCCACAGCCTTAGAACACACACAATATTATTTAAACCAAATCTAAATGAAAAAGACTGAAAATAATTATTTGGCTTACCCATGAATGATGTACATGCCATGTATATATAATAGATTCATGATACAATTTAGGAAATAATATAAATAAGAAAACAATACTAAATTAGTGATTGATACAATCACAAATTATATGCAAAATACTAAAAATAAAAAGATTCTATGTACTCTAATTTCTATATTCAACATTCCTCCTCAAGTTGATGTGAAAATATTCAACAATCGTAGCTTGCCAATGGATGGTTGGAAGAAGCTGGAAAAAAACTCAACGATTAGTCCAAATAAATGCTATTGAACAAATCTGGTAGTCCACTAAATAAAAAAGGCCAAAAAGTATTTAATTCATCAGCACCACATCCTAGAAACGAAAAAGAAGAAGAAGAAGGAACTGAGCTATCCTAAAAGAGCTGCCGAAGCATCTATCGCCAGGAAATACCCTAGTCGGCATCAGAGGCCGGAGCTAATGCTGGGAGATAGTTTATGGTCGTGCCGGACCTTTGTAAAAATTGGTCAGAACTAATGTTGAGATAGTTTAAGGTCATGCTGGACCGTTGTAGGAACTGACCGGAATTAATGTCGGGACAGTTTATGGGGTCATGTCAGACCATCGTAGGAGCTAACCGGAATCAATGTCATAACAGTTTAAGGGGTTATGTTAGACCGTTGTAGAGATTAACCGGAATCAATGTCGAGACAGTTTAAAGAGGTCATGCCGGACCTATGTACATAAGTAGATGTTGAACCAACAAGCGTGGTACACATATAACTTATGACTTGGTGTTGAACGATAATGACAACAGATGATTGAATACGCGAGGAGGCAGCTTGGATGGTGCGCCAGGGGACAGTTTTGGTGGCGCACCAAGGAGCAGCTTGGATGGTGCATCAGAGGGGGCGGCTTGGGTTATGCGCCAGAGGGGGCGGCTTAGCTGGTTCACATGGTATATCACCATGCTCACCATGATATAGGTATAATACCCTCCTCAAACTCAAATAAGTTTGAAGATAAAATTTGAGATTGAAATAGAGGGAAAGACAAAGTAGAGCAGAAACACATGAAAAAATGAATTGAGGTCCGGTGCTAAAGCCGAGCCATGCTGGACCATTGTAGGAACTGACCGGAATCAATGTTGGGACAGTTTACGGGGTCATGCCGGACTGTTGTAGGAACTAATCGGAATAAATGTCAGGACAGTTTAAGAGGTCATGTCAGACTGTGTAGAGACTAATTAGAATCAATGTCGAGATAATTTAAAGGGGTTATGTCGGACCGATGTACAAAACTGAATGTTGAACCAGCAAGCGTAGCACACACATAACTTATGACGTGGTGCTGAACGTGTTGGCTTTCAAAGGTTATTTTTTGTAATTGCGAGCGTGCCAACAACGATCAATCAGTCCTTACAGAAAATTAATTGCCAACCAATTATCAGACGATTGTGTTTTAGTTCTTTTAGCCTCAATGAAGAAGACTTTTACTGGTGGCTTGATTTAGGAGAATTAAGCAAGATAACAATTAAATGAAGAACAATTGAAGCATTTCATAGAATGAAAAAACTTACAATGATCCGAACTCAGCCTCGTAGAGGTTTACAACAACAATCTATTACTTGAAACTACTCCTATGAACAAAGTGCAGTGCAGGAATTTAAAGTACAGGAATGTAAAGAACATGAAATGTAAGATTGAAAATGTAAAACTAGAAAGGAAAATAACTAGAATAAGACTAGTTTTTTTAATCTGAGTCTGGGTCCTTTTTTCTGGGTCTTCTCTGCTATTTATACTTTTCAAGAATGACCATCGAACTGCATTTCCAATCGTCGAACTGCTCCTCCATGATCGTTGATCATGTTGCCTTATAATTAGCTCCACTATGCTATCTCTTGCAATTAGACTTCCCTCCTAAATTTTGAATTTAAATGTGAATAACCGTTGAAGCCACGTCACCCTGTATCTCTTTGTTGATCCACTGCTACTCAGATCTTGTAATAACCAATATTAACTGCCACGTATATGATCAGGATCGAAGACTTGAATAGTCTTCCTGTACTACCCTTATTCTGCCATGCGTCGAATTGTAATTGGCTTGTACAAAATATGTAGCCAACATTACCCCTCGCACTAAATACCCAATACTTGGTGATATTAGTGGATCAAGGTCTTTTATCCATGTCTTAGAACGTGCAAGGGCTTTGCATTCTTCCAGAAATGCAACTGTCATTCATCATCTGCATTAAACTCTCCTTCAATCTTTTGAACACCCCCACTACCTTAGTATTCGAACAGACTGATACATTTTTTTATGGCCGAATCAATTTTTTCCTCCATTGATCGAGCACACGAAGAGTCATCTGATGATGCTGTTCTTCCTCGAAAGAACCTCCATGCATTGATTAGCCACCTTTACCCACCTTTCCATATTCAGGTCATGGATGCCTTTGCAAATTATCAATCCTTGGACTATGAACACATTGCCCTTAATCCTTTGATTCAGAAACTTACAAACATGGACATGGGAAGTTCTTCTTCTGACTCACCCTTGGACTACGAACAAACTGCTCTTAATCCTTTGATTCAAAAAGTCGCAAATATAGACATGGGAAGTTCTTCTTCACAATCCTCTGCATGGGATAAAGCTGCAACTTCTTCTTCCTCTAGGGCTTCTGACTGGACAAGATGGTCAAAACCTGAGGCCTGTGATTTAAAGGAGCGAATCAACCATCACTTTGTCGAGTTTACTGACCCTTTAGAGTTTCCTTCCTATGCACGAAGCTCGGTGGTCTATCCTCACGTGCCCATCGACCATCGACGCAGTTTGGACAAAAATCTGCTTGTAGCATGGTACACATCCTCCATGCCTACAAAGGTAGTACACGCTGCCCGACGCCCCGATGAGGCACAAGGGTACAATCCATCGTTCTTAGCCCAAAAGGCGAAGCTTTGCTCTTCTGACTGGCTCGATTATATTAATGCCCTTGTTCCTTCTGCCCTTCATCCTCCTCCTGAAGTGGAGGCTTCCATACCTTCTCCTCCGCCAACTCCTTGCTGGACAGAAAGACTGAGGCTTGCCCTCTCCGCGGATAAGGTCTTTCCATCTTACAAGCCTCCCCCTCTCCCTACTCTAGCTGAGTGGAAGCAAGCCCAATTCCTGCTTGCGGCCTTCTCTCACTTGCCCTTCAGTGTTCTTGAGGACGAAGTCCCTCTCAAGAATCTTCGATGGGCTTGTGACATTCTGACTCGGGGTCATGTCCTCAATCCTCTCGCCCAAGCAGAGCTTCACATGTTTTTGGATCAACTTCCCTCGCTTCTCTACTGGCATCGGATCTCTACAGCCACCACTCAATCTTTGGACCAACTCTCGTCCCTTCGAGTTCATGCCCAGTACGAAGTAGAGAACTTCATTGAAGAATTCGAAAACTTCAAGAATAAAGATTCTACGTACTGGGATGACTTGGATATAGATGAATTGCAACAAGGATTGAGAGAAACAGCATTCGAAATAAAGGCTGAAAAGCTCTTTTATGAAGTGAGAGCACATCAATTTATGCAGCCAATCCTAGAAGAAATAGAGGATAAAATAAAGAAAGAACAGAAATTCATTGATCATAGTTGGACCAAATTTCATGATCTTGTTATTTATTCTATTCCCTACTTTTATGAGCTTAAATTTGTACCCACAGAGGGCCGTTCAATGTAATTGCTTTTTGCTTTAATACAACTAAGACTTTTTCTTTGTTTGGCATTGTTTGATCTTGTCTCTGTTTGTCTTTAAAAGCAAATTTAGGGCTTCGAACTGAACAATCTTATCCTTCGAATTTGGACTTAATCGTTTTAAATGAAACACTAAAAAGAACCAATATGAACTTTTCCAATTTATGGAATATAGTTAACAGTTCTTGTTGATTTTCATTTAGAATCAGTGTTTCGAATTTAACAATCTTACCCCATAAAGCTTATTTTAATCATAACCAACATATGGTCATGGTTAGATTGATATTGATCATTTTTGCTTCGAACAACAGTTTACGCTGTTTTTAGCTCAAAAGATAATCCCTTTCTGTATATAAACAAACCAACTATTGGTTTTGATGTTTCGAACAACAATTCACATCCTTAAGGGGTCTTAAGTTTTGCTTCGAAGGATATTATTTTCATTAAGAAACCTAAAACAAGTCTTTAATCCCTTTGAAGTAAACAAATACTTGAGTATTCTTGCATTTTTAAGTATGGAATGTGCTTCGAAGCCGGCTTCTCTGTTTCGAAGCCGTTGTTATTTGACTTTTGGCACCAAAGTTTGTTTTCGAAGGCAAATATTTTACTTCGAAGCTAGCATTAACATCTGGGCTATGTTTTTTCCCTCCAAAAGTATCAATATTGAAGGAAACTTTTCGTATTTGTACTTTTAGTACTTAACGAATTACGTGATATATCTTCCAGACACAAAGGCTTTTAAAATCTTTTTTTTTTTGTGCTCTGAAATCACTCACTCGCTCAAAACGCAAACCCTTCTCCTCTGTTAACCCTCTCTTCTTCGCCTCTTCCTTGCTCCTTGCTACTAATGGATTCTTCTTCTCTGAAAGTGCTTGTTGGTGATCGTATAAGTCCAACCATGGCTTTGAAAAGATGTATTAATGAAAAGATTGCTAAGTTAACATGTAACAACCCTCGTTACTGTTTACCGATTAATCACTGATCACTGATTGATTACTGCTAAATT